TACCTGGTTAAGACTGAATTTTTTAAAAAATATTTATTTATTTATTATGTATACAATATTCTGTCTGTGTGTATGTCTGCAGGCCAGAAGAGGGCACCAGACCTCATTCCAGATGGTTGTGAGCCACCATGTAGTTGCTGGGAATTCAACTCAGGACCTCTGGAAGAGCAGGCAATGCTCTTAATCACTGAGCCACCTCTCCAGCCCCTGAATTTTTTTTAAAAAGACTGGATTCTGGAACTGGTGATGGCGCAGTAGTTAAGAGCACTGGCTGCTCTTTCAGAGGAGCATCCATGGTAAGTGGCTCACAACCATCTGTAACTTCAGCTCCAGGTATCTTATACTTTCTTCTGACTTTCATGAACACACGCACACACACACACACACACACACTTTATTTTTTTTAGAAAACTGAACTAGTTTATCATATTAATGTGCTGAGATCAAAGAGTAAGAGAGAAGAAAAACTGAATTTATATAAAGAAGGCAGAATAAATGAAGGAGTAAAGTTCCCACACGGCAAAAATGAGTGAAACATAGGATACAGTGAAAGTATAGCCTTGGATTACAAGGGAGTCGTTGTCCCATCTCAAACAGAAAGGATGGGAGGGAATGACTATTTGAATGTAAACACAAAAATGAAGCAACTTGCCTCCTGGCCTTTATTTTCTCTGCTGTGAAGCCGAATAGGGAGTAGGTGAAAAAGCTGATAGGCAGAAGGACAGTTGGATCCACCAACGATTCTGTTGAAAAGACCGTGAAGGGCACAATCTGTAGCTCATTTGTTGGACTACTTGCTTAGTATGTATGCACAAAGCCTTTGGGTTTGGTCCTAGCACTGCATAAAGAGGTGGGATGACATATACCTGTAATCCCAGAACTCAGGTAAGGGAGGCAAAAAGATCAGAAGTTCTTGTGCTATGTAGGGAGTTCAAGGCCAGCTGGAGCTACACGAAACCTTATCTTAAGAGAGGGGGTGGCTGTGAATTTGTTGTAAGTGTATTGTGTATAAGTTAAGTAAGCATAAGCAATTGAGTCTAGCTAGAGTGATTCATAGACACCCCTCGCCATGTCAGAATTCAGAGGTTTTCAGAAAGGGTTGGGAAGCTGCCAGGAACTTGGAAGAGTCTCCCCATTTCTCTGCCTCTCTTCGTTCCTTCTCTTTGGCGGTTTATCTTTCTCCACTCTCATCCCTCAGAGTAGATCGGATGATGTTCAATTAGAATCTTAACCTCTCAGTCCTAATCTCATAATCCCAAAACAAAACAATCTGTTTAACACAGCAGTGTTGTGGCATATTATTTTAACTTGCCAAAGGCGTGTTACCTTTGTTTATGCTGTATTTGTTTAATGATGTGTGTTTAATTATGTAAAGATGTGCGGCATCTGTTTCACCTCTCCTGCCTAAGGTATCTGATTGGTCTAATAAAAGTTGAATGGCCAATAGCTAGGCAGAAGATGGATAGGGGAGGCTGGCAGGCAGAGAGAATAAATAGGAGGAGAAATCTAGGTTCAAGAGAAAGCAGAGAAAGAGGGAGACACCTGGGGCCAGAAGCCATGCAACTCTAAGCCAGCCAAACAGAGAGACAGCAAGAAAATAAGAAAAGTCAAAAATCCCTAAGGCAAAAGGTAGATAAAGAGAAACAGGTTAATATAAGTTAAAAAGAGATAGCCAGGAAGTGCCTAAGCTAGGCCTAGCATTCAAAACTAATAATAAGTTTCTGTTTTGGGAGCCAGTTGGTGGCCCAAAAGAAAAAGCCTGGTACACAGTACACAACTTGGTAGCTGTAATATAGGCACCAGACGTCTCAGGAAACATGTACAGAGTCTATTGGTGCCGGCACAGCCATGGAAAACACAATTCCCAGAGAATGGGCTCAGGGGTTTGACTAACCAAAAAGAATGCCTACCCACAAACTCAGGTCTGAGAACTCGGTGATTTCCTTAACCCAGTATTAGTCCCTTTCTTGAAGCTATGATAAAAGACCTGACAGGAACAAATTATGGAAGAAAAGGTTTATGCCTGGCTCATGATTCCAGAGAAATTTCAGCCCCTTGTTGCCGAGAAGGCATGGAGCTGGAGGAAGTCATGCAGGGAATGTCTGAAATCTCCAGTGAGTGTCTAACAGTCCTCCTCACTCCCCCCTTCTGTGAAGGGATGTCAACAGACCCAATCTTGTGAGGGTCACTTGTGGTAACCACTGTGATTTCTAAGATTAACAGTAAACGGCTGTTAGGGTCAGAGGTGAGTGTTCAACAACACATATTAACACAACTGTGATGATGGTGATTGATTTGATCCTGGGGAGATGACTCAGTCAGTAAAAAATTGCCATGAAAGCATGAAGATTCAAGTTCAGATCCTCTGGGCCCATGTAAAAAGTGAGGTGCAGTTGTACCATCTGTAATCCCAGCACTGAGACAGGAGAATCCCTGGGGCTCACTGGCTAACTAGTCTATCCAATTGAAGAACTTCACTTTCAATGAGAGACCCTGTCTCAAAAAATAAGGCAGAGTGCACACACACACACACACACACACACACACATACACATATGCACTCACACACATCACGGTGGGGGGAGGCTAACTGACAGGATATGTGTGCTTAGGGAAAAGAACAAAGTCAGGAAGATCATACCTATAAAGCAGTTGATAGTCACCGTGAGTACGTGAGCATGAGAGGGAAGGGGTTAGAGGGAAGGAACCCTAGGAGGTTGTGGGAGTCTAGAGTTTGACATTTCATTCACGGGACAAAATTCTTGTGGTTTCTTAAAAACACTACGTTGAGCCCATTTTCACAGTGCGTGGCTCTCAAAGACTATGCGATGGTTATGAGTATGGCAAACCCCTTTGTAGGGTAAAAGGGCCAGCCAAAGAAACACACCCTGACCCTGAAACCAGTGCCAAAGAAAGACGCTTTGTCCCTAGAATTAGAAATATGCCCTGGCCCTAAAACTAGAGTCAAAAAGAAAAAGAAAAGAAAAAAAATTTTTAAAAGGTCAATGAAAGAAACACAATTTGGTCTCTGAAACCAGAGCCAAACCTGCCCCTGATCAACTAAGCTGAAAACTAACCAATTCCAGGGCAGGGAAATGAACCAATCCCCGAGCAGAAAACCAACCAGTCTGAGCAGAGATCTAAACCAATCTGAGCTCAAGGGCCTGAAATCTGACCAATTCCCACCCTGACAATCTCCCTGGAAAACTCTGCTCCCAGGAAGTCCTATTTAAGCCCTGCACCTGTTCTGTTTGCTGCTGCCCCTTTTCCACTGTGGCAGAGACAGCTGCTCCCCTGGATTCTTCCCTCCTAATAAATCTCTTGAATAAGGTGTGGGTGAAGACCTTTCACCAGAGCAAAGATGGAGCCAAACAGCATTGTAGCACATTCCCTGGGAGAGCCTTACCTTAGCAGCTCCGAGTTGTTACAACTTCAACCGGTAAGCAGCAGAACAGGGATGTAACACTTTCACTGGGGAAACCTTCTCCTAGCAGAGCCGTGTTGTTACACTCCTGGCACCAGAGTCTAGCTGTAACAACTTTGCTGGGAAAGCCCTTTCCTACCAGAACTGTTACATTGGGAAAACCTTTCCCCAGAGCAGGGCTGTAAACTGCTATCCTTACTGTGACCTGTGCTATTCCCTGCCTCCCGACTGCCAGACTATTTTTCCATCTGAGGCACAATGCTTACATCCTTTCTGTACTACTATGAACTTTTGCACTCTAAGACTGGAGTATATCCCTCATTTTTTCTCAGTTATTACAATGTAACAAATAGTGAAGCTTGTTAGCAGTCAGCTACCTGGGGGCCTTTTGCTAATATCCCGATGGGAACCATGAGTAAGCAAGGAGAAAATCTAGAGCCCAGTGAAAAATCCCAAGTGCTCAAACCAAGCTTTGATCTCACATAAAATCACTTAAACAAGTGTTTTCCTGCGTGTGTGTGTGTGTGTGTGTGTGCACCACATTGGTTCCTAGTGCCCTTAGTAGCCAAAAGAGGGTGTCAGATCCCCTGAACCTGCAGTTACAGATTATTGTGAGCTGCCATGTGGGTGCTGGGAACTGAACCCAGGTCTTTGGCAATGCAACCACTGGCTCTTACTTGCGGAGCCATCTCTTCCACCTCCACTAAAATCTTTTATTTAGTTATCTTCTGAGATGTTCTTACACATCCCATTCTGGTCTTGAATTTGCTATGTAGCTGAGAATAACTTTGAATTTTTCTGCCTCAACTTCCTGAATGCTGAGATGAGAGGTTTGCTGTACCACACAGGGTTTACACAGGTGTGCAGAAACCAAGGCTCTGTGAATACCAGGCAAGCACTCTACTTAGTGAGCTATGGCCCCAATCCACTAAGGTTGTGTGTCCCGAAGGCCAGGTAGATTCCAGCACACCCAGCAACAGTACATGGGGGCGAGGCAGATTTAAGAATCTTAATTTTTGATTTTTTTGGGAGGGGGGAACCTGGCTTCAACCTGCACCGAGGGGACGCCTCAGTATCTCTATATAGACAATCTAAATTGCTTTCCTTCCGCAGTCCTCCCAACCACACGAGGCGACAAAGAAAAAACATTTTTTGGCGAATCGGGAGCACCTCTTCCTCCCTCGCCCTCAGGGACCCAAGGAACAGGCGCCACCCACTCGCTCCCTCACGCCTTCAGCTATCGGTCACTGCGCATGCGCGCCCAGGCCGGCATCCCGGGGCGGGGACACGCCCAGGCTCAGCTTGCATGGCGGTTGGGCGAAGGCGAAACACGTGACCGCAGTGTCCTCGCCCGAGCATGCGTAGAGTGGCCCAGCGTGCCCGGGACGGCACGCTGAGGCGTGGGAGCGCGACCTCGCCCGCCCGCCTCGGTCCCCGCCCCTTGGCCTGCCGCTCCGCCCCCGCGGGGCGTCCCGGGCCGCTCGTCCCCTCCGCGGCGGCCGCGCGCGGCCCGGGGTCGCCGTGAGTACTCTGTAGGCTGGCGTGTCGGGGGAGGCCGGAGCGGGATGGGGCGGGGCGGCCGGGCGGCGGGCGGGGTCCGCCCTGCCTGAGGGACCGAGTGAGGGGCGAGGACAGGCTTCGCTCGGCTGGGCGGCTGGCGGCGGTGAGCCGCAGACGGCTTCCTAACGGGGAAGGCCGGGGCTGGGGGCCTACGGGGGACACCTGGAGAAGAGGCCTCAGGCTCTGTCCTGCAAGCGCGGGTGTCCTCGGCGAGCATCCCGGTCCTCTCCCTCCGCGGGTGCCCGGCTTAGCGCTGGCCGGCTGGACTCGCCCCTCCGCGCCCCGCTTCGCCTTTGTTTAGTAGCTTAGTCCTTCTGTCGTTCCTGTTGGAGCTTTCCTCTGCTAGCACACAGAGCTGGGGAGGCAAGCCCAGAGTGGAGACGTTGAGATCAGAGGCTTCTGTGACTAGGTAGATGTCAGATGGTCACTCTGGAAAGTGCCTGTGGACTTAGAGAGAAAGACCTTTGTGAGTCGTTCTACGGCAGATTTACCTTTGGCATAATCTTATAGGAACAGATCAAGCATGTTAGGGCGAGCTGCCATCACCCAAAATAAACAAACACTGAGCGAAACAGCGCTCTTCTCTGGTCACTCTGATAGTACCTATTTGGCCCAGCTCCTCTTCAAAGGGTCCAGCTCTGTTTTCGTCTCTTAGTTTAGTAACCGCTGTGTTAGTTACTGCTTCATCCCATGAAAAATGAATGTATTTAGGACCTATCAAATATTCGAGTTCCTCAGGCAAGTTGTGACTTCCTTAGCTTGGAATATTACATGAGAACTTTGAACTAGGTCATCTTTCAGGCCCTTCTTTTTTTTTTTTTTTTTTTTTTTATGTCTGGGAATTCCATGATCCACAAACCTTCCTCTCTCCAGCTTTTAAATCTACTCCTCATTCCTGAGGGAAGAGCATTTAGTGTTGAGGGTTCAAATCTTTCCCACTAAAACAGCTTGGTTTGAAAAGTTGGTCATTTCATTTCATAACCGTCTTTTCCTTGGAAAAACTGATTTCCCCCCTGTCCTTTTAATAGCAACCGAAGCCAAGCAGCAAGCCTTGAAGACATGCTCAGTGTTTCTTGACTTAGGGTGAAAGACCTTGAAAGAGCTGGCACTTCTCGCCTCAGCTGCCATCGTCCCACCCTTCCCAGAGAACCCAGGCTGAAGAGCAGTGCTCCTTCCCTTATATCCCTCCGTGGTTGTCCAGATCAGCGCTTGACTGTTTATTTTCAAATCTCAAAAGAACTCCAGTCTCCAGAACTTCAGAATTTGCTTCTTGCTGCTCTTGAAGGTGAATGAGATCTTGCTTTTTAAAAAGCATTTTGTGTGATTATTGTTCATGCATAGAAGCGGCGTTAAGTTCTTATATTTATCTCCCGTTTGGTACATAGCTGAGGGATCATTCACTAATTCAGTAAATGTGTTATAGAGGCTGAGAACAGTACGGATCTTTGCTTGTAGAGCTTACAGTCTGGTGAGAGATAAATGTGTGTCCAAGTGTGGGGAAGGAAATAATTGGGGAGGGACAGGGAATGCTGGTGTAGGTATTATTATTACTGTTAGGATTTTTTAGTGTAGGTATTTTATAGAGGTAGTTAAGGTGACCTGTGACCAGAGTGTTGCTATGGTAAAAGGCCATCCTAAAAGGGGAGAACAGCGGAGACAAGGCTGTGTAGTGTGACTATGCTTGCTGTGTTTGAAGAACAGCAAGGAGACAAGGGGAATCTTCCTGTTGACGTGCAGAGTTGGTTTTCTAGGGAGAGCCTTTGATTTTATAATTGCAGAATTTTTCAACTATACACCAAAAAGCAGGGAATATAAGAAACCCTTGTGTACTTTTCTCAGCTTCCTCAGTTACCAACATTCTTTTGTTTTGTTTTTGTACTGGAGCTCGTTGTGTAGCCCAGGCTGGCTAAGAACTCAAAGAGATCCACTTGCCTGTGCCTTCAGAATGCTGGAGTTAAAGACATGCCACTATGTCTGACTCACAGTTATCAACATTTTGCAAAATTTATTTCATCTGTTTTCACACTTATTTTATTTGAAAATGGAATAGTATTTAATTTTTAAAACTAAAATTGTAGTTGATGTACAAAACGATGAGTGTTTTCATACATACAATTGGACTTTGCTCATACTTGTCCTCCCGACCCCCCAGTAGTGTTTTAAAGCAATTGTCAGATATCAGGTTATCTCTAAGAACTTGAGTTGTAATTGACTTTTGCATATTACTTTTTGGTCAGTGAGGTAGTACAGTCAGCTCAAGGACTGTTATGTAGAGTTTATTTTGGTATTGTGCTTTATAGCCCCATACTGAACCAATTACCAAGTTTAACTTAGTCTCTGAGAAGAAACGACAGACCCTTGGAAGATGCAATGACCTTGTGGGATGGTTCTCAGATTTTATCATGCAGAATAATAACTTTAGGGCTTGTTAAAACATCACTGCATTCCAGTTCTGGTTTTTCTGCTTCACTAAATCTCAGGGGGTAAGGGTTAAGATTGGCATTTTAGCAAGTTCCCAGGTAATACTGATGCTGGAGTCACACCAGCCCACCTAGAACCGATGATGTAGAAAAGTAAGGTTTGGTAGAATCACATTAAGGACCAAGAACACCATTGAGTAGTTTGGAATGGATTAGATTGAGGTATATGTGGAGCCAGGAAAGACTAGTGGTTCCTAGTATTGGCTTAATAGTAGAGAGTTTTTAACTGACTTAACGTTCAGGATTAATTCGTGTGAAATTGTACTAATTGGTTATGGAATAGGGCTATGTGTTGGTCTAAGTTGAAAGCTCCCCAGGTAATGTGTAGGTAATGTTTGTGACCTACTGATCTAGAGAGCAGCAGAAAGCTTTGAAAGCCTACTGTTACTGTAGCTTTGACATCTGTTATCGTTCAAGCCTTCATAATTTTATAGCTGAGTTGTTTTTTCATGACCTGATGCAAGTGAAGACTTCAGTGGTGCTAAAAATAGCCTGTTATGGGATGGAGGTCTTCTAGGATTAGAAGTGGGGAGAAGGTTAGTGCTTTTTCTGAGTGCTTGTTGGGTCATTACTGTAACTATGTGGAGGTTAGGTTCTGAGACGACCCTGGAGCATTGTTTCAGCCATGACAACTCAGATAAATTTTACCAGAGCATCGTCGGTGTTATTGAGAACTCTGAATTAGATGGTTGTCATATAATGGCTTCTAGTAATGTTGCTGTTATTTTTTAAAGATTTATTTTTAGTTTTATGAATATTTGTGTTAGATCCCCTGGAGCTAGAGTTATAGGCAGTTATGAACTGCCTGGTGTGGATGCTTGGGAACCCAACTCAGGGCCTCTGTAAGAGCACTACTAAGTCATCTCTTCAGCCCCCTTGAATTAATTTATTTTTAGACAGAGTCCTCAAAGTATCCTAGGCTAACCTCAAAGATGTTATCTTCTTGACCATAGATCCCTCTTTATTGCTGTGTGAATCACCAAGCTCAACTAAAGCTGATGTTTTAAAAGCAATAATGAGGGGTTACAGATATGGCTTGTTGGCTAAAATGCCTGCCATGGAAGTGTGAGAACTAGAATTTGGGTCCCCAGAACCTACATAAATGTCAGGTGGGCATGGTGGCTACGTATAATTCCAGCTCTGGGAATGTGGAGATAGGATCTCAGCAAGGTGGCTAGCTAAACTAGCCTGTGCTGGTGAAGTACAGCATTAGTTGAGAGATCTTGTCTCAGTCAGGCAGAAAATGAATGAGAAAGACTCCAAGAGTCAGCCCTGGAGGCCTACATACGCACATTCGCGTGTACTTTTATACACATTTGCTTGCACACACATACACATGTAAAGAAAAAAAGTGATAGTGGCCCAATATGGGAAAATAGGAGCAAAGAGTCTAAAAAGAATCTGGTTCTGGTTCATAAGGCTGATGAGGCTTGGTATTGTGAAAGCTGCTCATAAATGAACTGAGTGGACACAGAAGCATAGCAGTTTGGTCCTGCCATTGTTACTTTTGGTTTTAAGGTTATTGTAACCTTATAGACTAGAGCAGATACTTACTCCAGTTCCAACTTTCAACTTTGAGTGTAATAGACAGGTGTATATTCTACTGACAGTGCCTTCAGCTTAGTTAAAGAAGTAAAGTCTATGTGTTTATGTGCATTATGCCTCTTTACATGTGTCTGTAATTGAACAAAATATACCTGTGTATATACTATCCAGCTAATAAGTAGTGAACCCAATTGTTATTTACTTTCCATAGGACAGTGACTTATTACCACAACAGCAGAGTCTGCCATCTCCAGCAGATCGCCAGTACCTATGACATCATCACCTCCTTTGTCTCATTCTGTGATCTCCTAAATGCTCATCTTGTTGGCCTGGGTTCGATTGGTGGTATGGAGGGGTGCTGCCTAGCACTGACCTGAGAGTGTGTGTGAGACTCACTGACCCAATGGTGAGGACTGACTCCTTGTGTCACTGGACTAGTCATCTAAGGGGCAGATAAGACAGAAGGCTGACTTTACCTTTTCCTGGTATTTTCCCCCTCTTGCCCTTTTGGAAGTAGCTATTTGAAGTTAATGGAAGAAGGAGGAGTATGGAAAAAGTGTCACTTGAGCTGTATAGGGCTGTTCTCTTTGAAAGGAAGGGGAGAGATGAACACTAGGAGATAAAAGAGTAGAGGTGAGGTTGGCTGTGGTGGCTTGCATCTGTAATCCCAGCACTTGGGAAACTGAGGCAGATGAATTGCTGCAAGGTCTGAGCTAGCCAGGGCTATAGAGTAAGACCCTGCCTCAGAGAGAATACAAAACAAGGGAGATGAGGAAGTGACGATGCAGAGCTTAGGATGTTCTCTGCCCCACCGAGTCAGAGCTAGACTTAGGTAGTATTGCACTCAGTCAGAGTGAAGTGAAAGGTAAAAGGATTCAGGCTTCAGTTACTTATTCCCAAGAAATGTGAGAATCTGTTTTCCATCCTTTTGCCCTACCCTAGCCCATGTAATAACAAAGACCTAACAAAGGATGGTGCTTCAGTGTTTTTGTTATTGTTGTTTATCTCCAGGACATCAAAGGCCAGTTCTGGAATGATGATGATTCAGAAGGAGATAATGAATCAGAGGAATTTCTATATGGAGTTCAGGTGAAGTGCATTCCCTCAAACTCATTGTTGGATGATTTAGATTTTATATGCTGGGTACATCAGAAGGAAAGTTCTACTGAACAGAGATGAAATGAGATAAAATGTTAGTGGGATCTGATAGGAATCTTTCAGAACTGATTCATTGTCCTTGCTTATACCTAGGACTTGTTATCCCGTAGTAAACTGCATTCTCCACATGAAGGGGACCCTTATGTTAGTTAGAAATTATTATTTTCTTCTCTCATTCTCAGAGAGAGTCATTTCATTGTTAGGATCAAATCTTTTTTTTTTTTAACTTATTTATTTATTTATTTATTATGTATACAATATTCTTTCTGCGTGTATGCCTGAAGGCCAGAAGAGGGCACCAGACCTCATTACAGATGGTTGAGAGCCACCATGTGGTTGCTGGGAATTGAACTCAGGACCTTTGGAAGAGCAGGCAATGCTCTTAACCGCTGAGCCATCTCTCCAGCCCAGGATCAAATCTTAAATGGCTCCCGGAGAATGTCATTATCATTGCCACCCAGAAAAATGCAATTGCTAACAATTGCATTCCTAAGCAAAACTGTTCAGACTCTCAGGATGCTTTTCAGATAGAACTCGTCTGAATTTCTGTAGAAGGCAAAATTTGAGAGGAAAGGCTAGAGCTTGAGAATATGAACTCTTAAAGCAAAACTGCCTGTTGGTCTGCTGAAACTTTCTTAGGCTGGAATAGAGAGTCTTGTTCCCTGAAATATGTGTTAGAGTTCCCCCCAAGAGCCTATATGCTGCCCTTTCATCTTTCCTGTTCCTGGTGTGTCTGCATGTTCTGTTTATTCTCTCTTTCTTACTTCCCCTTTGTTTATCTCTTTCCACCTCTGCTACCATTAATATTTTTATGGCTGAATCAGGGGAGCTGTGCAGCTGACCTGTATAGACACCCACAGCTTGACGCGGACATTGAAGCAGTGAAGGAGATCTACAGTGAGAACTCTGTGTCCATCAGGTGGGACTCAACTTCAGGATGACAAGGATCTTTAAAAGGCTAGAATTTCTTTTGATGGTGTAATATACTGATAAATTTATGCGTTTAGCAATAGAAGGTTACTCAGAGTATTTAAAAATAAAAATGGCTGACCATAGGAGATAGGAGTTAGAACTAATTTTCTTAGCTATTCCCTCTTATCCTAAATACCTTTAGGTCACTAGTTCCCTTTGGGATAAGAAGGATTATGGTCATAAGTGATCTGATACATAGCTAAGATCTTTTTCTTGTTGCTGTTTTTTGTTTGTTTATTTTGAGGCAGAGTTTCTCTGTGTAACTAAGGTCTAAGTATGGAGCTCTCTTCCACCCTTTCTCATGTTCCCAGGGTTAGTTCTTTACCTTCTTTACCTCTCTAGTCCCTTCTGTCTTAATGAGCCTCCCTTGTGGTTGCCTGTGTCTCTGTAGAGAATATGGAACTATTGATGACGTGGACATTGACCTCCATATCAACATCAGCTTCCTCGATGTAAGTAGTGCCAACAGTATGTATAGCTTGCCTTACGGGTTTTTTTCATGTAGGCCTGGTGTCTTGTTCTTGAGTGCTGTATTTGGAGCCTATATTCTACACCTCTGTCATTCCTAGACCATCAACGAACAATGGTGTATATGTGCATATATGTGTCCATTTCTCTCTGTTGTAAACCAGAAATAATTTCTCTTACTCTCTTAGGAGGAAGTATCTACAGCTTGGAAGGTCCTTCGGACAGAACCGATTGTGTTGAGGCTACGGTTTTCTCTCTCCCAGTACCTTGATGGACCAGGTAAAGACAGTGACATTGGACAAGTGGGTAATCTGAGTATAGTCTGATCCAAAGTACTAAGTTAATTGAAGTAGAAATAAAGTTGGAAATAAGACCTTTGTGCTCACCCTTTGTTTTCTATTTCTTGTCATTAGTGTCCTCATCCCCACTCATCTGATAGCCTTCTTCTTGATTTGTGAAATTGTTTTCTCTGACCTGAAGATATTTGTTCTTCTTCAAACCTCCCACTTCCGACTGAAAATATTTAAAGTTTATTAAATGGCTTCTAGAATTTACTGCTGCCTCAAGTTTTCTTCCTCTACTATGCAGGCATGTCCAACTTTTGACATTCCAACACATTGTCATCTTCAAAATCCACACTCAAGAACTGAACAACCAAGTTACCAAAAAAAACAATTACAAAATTTTTATAATGTTTTAAGTAAGTTACAGTTTTATATTCAGCCACATTTATGGCTATCTTTAACTGCAAGTTGGATTTGCCTGAGAGTACCTATCAGCTACTGTGTCTAGAATCTGAGGAAGCTGTCCTACTGAACTGTGACTTTAGACTTTGTAGAGATTAGAGTTATGCACACATTGGAAACTTTTTCTTCTCTTTGCAGAACCATCCATTGAGGTTTTCCAGCCATCGAATAAGGAAGGGTTTGGGCTAGGTCTTCAATTAAAAAAGTAAGAACTTTTTTGTTGTTGTTGTTCATGGACATGTGATGGAAAAGTATTGAGAAATACTTATCTTAGCTTTCCATTTCTGTTACAACATACCTGAATTATTCAACTTAGAAGGAAGAAATTTTATTTTAGCTCACAGTTTAGCAGTTTCAGCCGATTATAACTTGACCCTATTTATATCTTTGACATCACAATACATCATTGTAGAAGCATGTAGTAGAAGGGGTCTGTTCAATTTACAGTGTGCTGACAAACACAGACAGAAAGACAGACACATACACATGAGGCTCAGGGTACCAATATCCCCTGCAACGGTGTGCTCCCTTCTTCAATCAAGTCCTGCCTCCTCAATATTCTGCCACTTCCCAATAGTGTCACAGACTGGGAGCCAAGCCTTCAGCATGTTAACCTTTGGGGGGCATTCACAATCCAGACTCTAACCACAAATGTGTCAAAGCCTTGAACATCGTGTCTTTTTCCAGAAATGGCCTTTTAAAATATTCCTAGGAAAAGTTAAAATAAATTTAGGAAGCCAGATCGGGTTGGTGGTGGCACACACCTTTAATCCCAGTACTCGGGAGGCAGAGGCAGGTGGATCTCTGTAAGTTCGAGGCCAGCCTGGTCTACAGAACAGCCAGCTGTAGATCGATGCTATAAGATAGTCTCACACTAGCTCAGAATTGAGTATAAGGATTGAAGATAAGCATCAGTGTTGGTGGAACTTAGTACCAGTAGATGTAAGATTGTTAAAGAAGAGGATGATAGGGTGAAAAGAAAATAGAATCGAAGGCAAAAAACTTTTTAATACCCAAAGTATCCAGGAATCCTTCAGGATGGTGGACAGAAGAAGAAACACTAAAACTAGGCCAAAGGAATCTTGACCCCCTTAAAGATAGATCTCAGAGGTAGAACACTTGCCTAGCTGAGATGCAGAAAAATGAAGTATCTTACAGACTTTGGGAAAGGAACTGACCGGACAGGAAGATGTTTGATCATGGCCCCTAAGGACAGAAGATGGTGGTAGAGCCCAAATAGAGAAGTCAGTCTTAATATGAGAGTCACCTTTTCTCCAGAGAATGAAGGGCTAGAGATAAGGGTTGAAGGAGAAACAGCTTTTGTATTAGGGTTGGAAAATTAGGGAAGCTAATACCTCATGATTTCTCTAATGAGAAGAAAAGGAAGTTATTGGTTATAGGTTAAATTTTGAGTTTGAAGAAGCTGCTGAGGTTTTATCATGATAGCCTAGGGTAATCCTACAAAGAACTGGTCAAGGACAAGTGAAACGATTGACAAGTTGGGTTGCAAGGTGAAGACTATAAATTCAGGGATGTAGTTTTTCACCTAACATTATTGGTATCACATATCCATAGTCATTGCACTAATTGCAAAGTAGAAGGTTATATTCTCTTCTGCCCTACCCCTTCTATTCTGTTTTCAGTGTAGTTATCTTTGGCACTAAATCCAGACTGTGGTTTCTAGTCTGAAGGTTCTCCTTTATAATGTCTCCAGAAATATTCTGGCTTGTTGGTTAGGTAACAGGAGTGAGTGTTTAGTCCTAGGATGAAGATGGTGCTTTAGGATAGATAGTATTTTCATATGCCAGTGTCATATCAAGAGAGGCTTTGGCAAACATTCTGTCAAAACTAGCTTTATAGTCTCTGAGTCTGGAGATTAGTTGCTTCTCTTTGTCCTTTTTTGCCTGATCTTGCCTAATTCTCTTGTCCTAGGATCCTGGGTATGTTTACATCCCAACAATGGAAACATCTGAGCAACGATTTCCTGAAGACCCAGCAGGAGAAGAGACACAGTTGGTTCAAAGCAAGTGGTACCATCAAGAAGTTCCGAGCTGGCCTCAGCATCTTCTCACCCATTCCCAAGTAAATATTTTCCTAGAATTGATCATTTCCAATTATCTGTCTTATCACCTTCTGGAATGCCTAAAATAATTTCTTCTGTCTTTTCTCTGAGTCCAGTAAATTCTGTACCTTTTACATAATAATAGTGACACATGGTCCTGGTCCCCTTTGTATCCTTACCTTTCTACTTTGATTCAATATTTATAACTCATCCCTTATGTAAAGCACAATATCTATCTTTTGGAGGCATATGCATTATTTTTCCATCATTTTAGAAAATTATGTTTAAAGGTGTTTTGCTTGCTCTATGTGTGTGTCTAGTGCCCTCAGAGGCCATTGGAGAGGGTATTGAATCCCCTGAAACTGGAGCTACATTTGGCTGTAAGCTGCCATGTAGGTGCTGGGAATCATATCCAGGTCCTCTGTAAGAACTGCTGAGCCATCTTTTCAGCCCTTTATCTTTTCATCTTATCTTCATCTCTCATCTTTATTTCTTGTCATAAAGAAGCAGAGACATAGACACTTACTTCTTGCACTTATGTAGGAGGTGCTGATACCTAGGCTCTGGAAATAAACATTGCTCTATTCTTTGACCCTGGTTCTATATCCAGATTTCTGATTCTCCAAAGATGGACACAAAGCTAGATTTGTAGTGTTCCACAGGCCACTTTTGATGGTTAGACAGTTGGTATTAGGCAAGGTTTAGGATACAACTACTTGCCTAGAATAGTGTTGAATGCTTAGTCCTTTTCTCTCACAACAAAAAATGATCCTGTCATCTTTAAGAAATATACTTGGTCATACTTAGTCTGAATGACATGGTGGCTGAGGCTCTTCTTCTGCCTTTTATGTGCTACGACCTGAAGAACATACAGATAATGATATCAAAAGCCAATTTTGTGATTTATTATTCTCTTTTGACATTATTTAAGATAACAATAGACTATGCTCTTGAATTTATGATCATCTCTGGCCTACAATGTTCTTTTTTCTAATTCTCTTCTAAAGTTCATAATGAGTTCCCAGTTTTATTACTTTTTCTTTGCTCTTTCTCTACAGGTCTCCCAGTTTTCCTATCATACAGGACTCCATGCTAAAAGGCAAACTGGGTGTACCAGAGCTTCGAGTTGGACGCCTTATGAATCGTTCCATTTCTTGCACCATGAAGAACCCCAAAGTAGAGGTGTTTGGTTATCCCCCCAGCCCCCAGGCAGGTCTTCTGTGCCCCCAGCACGTGGGCCTCCCTCCCTCAGCACGGACTTCTCCTTTGGTACATGGGCTGGGGATTGTGTGATGTGGGCATCAGGAGGGTGGGGGTAGATATGTAGGGGAATAACTTTTCAAAGGGGTGGGGGTAGAGCTGTCTAGTCAAATCTAGGCATATATCATGAATGTATAGAATGGAATAGTTTTTAATTATTAAATGCTTATATATAAATAAATAATATTAAATAATAATTATTAAATGCTTATTTCATACCTGACAGGCCTGTCTGATAGTAGTTTATAAAGCAGAGTCTGGGGATTAGCATGCCAAGGAGAAGTCATGTATAGTATAGTTAGGTTATGGCTACAACTTGGTAGTCAGCTGCTGTGCCAACCTATTGTAACTTTGAAGAGGGTTAAAGACTGGTAAACCTTAGAACCTTTAACAAAAACTTCTAAAGGTCTCTCTAGCTTTGTGATTTCTTAGGCTGATCTGAGCTAAGACTTAGCTATTTTAGGATAATCCTGGATAAAGGTATGAATGAGGAGTGTTTGGGCCCCACTTTATAAGAAACTCATAGGATCTGTCTTGAACTCTTACTAGGTCAGTGGTCACTGCAAGAACATTCCCACTCTGGAGTATGGATTCCTTGTCCAGGTAATCAAGTCCAGAACTTTTTGCCAAAACCCTTCCCTGTTGCTCACCCATCTAACTGCCTAAACTCCAGTCTTGAGTCAGTTATTTCCTGAGTTGATTTGCTCCCAAAATTATACTGAGTGTTGGTTGAGCAAACAAAAGAAAAGAAGGTGTAGATTCCATCCTCAAGAAGGTCACAGCATTATCAAGAACACTGCCATGGTTCTCAACTTTTCTAATTCTGTGACCCCTTAATATAGTTCTTCACATTGTGGTGACCCAACCATAAAATTACTATTATTGCTACTTCATAGCTGTAATTTTGCTACTGTTATGAATTATAATGTAAAATGTCTGATATGTAGGATATCTGATATGCTATCCCTGTGGGTTTGGAACTACTGACTTTCAGGCTTAATAACCAGCCCATAAACATGTGAACAGCCTGATTGATACACAAGAACAAGTAGTTAAACCAGTGTTAAGTAAATAAAAATTTAAAAGCATATAGTTTAAAATACTGTTGCAAAAGCTCTGGATTTATGCCATTTTCCTTCCATAGAATATGTGTGTTTGCATGTATGTGTTTGACTAGGAGATGGGTTAATTGTCCTTAAGTGGTGGAAATCACTTAAGCCCTGCCCCCCAGCATTTCATCTTGGATTGAATACACTCATGCCACAAGTAGAAAATCTATAATGACTACAGCCACTGTAACTGATTAGTTAGTACCTATTTGTAAAATACTTTGATGAGAACCTGTAAAATGGCTCAGCTGGTAAAGCACCTGCTGTGAAAGTCTGACAACTTGAGTTAGCTCCCAGAATGCCCATAAAGGTGCAGGAGAGAGCTGACTTCGTAAAGTTGTCCTATGACCCTGTGTTGCCTTTTCTCCCATCTAATACATAATGATGGAGACTAAAAACAAAATTTTCCCAGCACTCGGGAGGCAGAGGCAGGCAGATCTCTGTGAGTTCGAGACCAGCCTGGTCTACAGAGCTAGTTCCAGGACAGGCTCCAAAGCCACAGAGAAACCCTGTCTCGAAAAACCAAAATAAATAAATAAATAAAAACAAAATTTTATTTAATTAATTAGAAGGGGCATACACATACACACAGGCACGCACGTGCATGCCATAGCACTTGTGTGAAGATCAGAAGACAGCTTGTGGGAATCAGTTCTCTCCTTCTACATATGTATCCCAGGAACTCAGGTTGACAGGCTTGATGCCACCTCCCCAAATTTAAATGCATGGACAGATCTCATTTCTTGCAGTATATTTATGAGATGTATAATGTCTTATTTTATAAGTGAAGAAAACAAGGCTAAATGTATCTGACTTGCCTAGTAGTTATGTTTGATAGTAAATAGTAGATGTGGAATATTAACTCGAGACTTCTATGTCAAAGATCAGGCTGGTCTACTTGTATAGTATCATACAGGGTTAGGAGTGTAGGGAGGCCATCAGTTTAAGTTCAGAATCTAAGCTAGAAAATATTCAATTATTTCCATTTTCTTCAAAACAACATGAAAAACTTCTATACTTAGAAAAGATACAGACTCTTTTCTCTCTCTAGATCATGAAATATGCAGAGCAGAGGATTCCAACATTGAATGAGTACTGTGTGGTGTGTGATGAGCAGCATGTCTTCCAGAACGGGTCCATGCTTAAGGTATAGGTCCCTGCTCTGACCATCTTACTTGGCCAAGGCCTTTTGTTTCCTAGCTCTCCTTTCTTCCTAGGCCTGTAGTAAAAGATACATTCTGTTCACATTCCTGTAGACACTATAAATAATCATTTTCTCAGAAGATGAATTTCAGTAATCTTTTCTGGAGAGAGAAATTTATAAAAACAATTCTGATGACACCATTCCCACCTAACATTTATAAGCAAGCATCTGGTATTGACCATGGTGTTCTTGGCTATTCCCAAATCTAGGTGAGTAGGCCAAACACTTAGCTATAAATTATAATCTATGTGTATATATTTAAAGGCAAGGAACAGTGTTCTAAAAACTCAGAAAAGAGAACATCTAAATACCTTAATGACCAGAGAGAATTTTATAGGTAGACAAGATCACTCAAACTTACTGTTACGGCATTTAAATTTTGATTGATAGTCCTCCTCAACACACACACACACACATCTTCTCAACACACAGTTCATCTCTCCCTATATCTTCTCCATACACAACCCACATCTCTCCTGTCTGTTTAATATCTCCCTTTAGCCAGCTGTCTGTACTCGTGAACTATGCGTCTTCTCCTTCTACACGCTGGGAGTCATGTCTGGAGCTGCAGAGGAGGTGGCTACTGGAGCAGAGGTAAGAGGGAGGAAAAGGACACTGGGGAATTGGGATCAAGAAAAGTAGAAGAGACAAGTTATGGTGTCAGTGTCTTTAACCTCAGGATTTAGAAGGCAGAGGCAGGAGGATCTTTAGAGTTTGAGGCCAGTTTGGTTCATAGAGTGAATTCCAGTCTAGTCAGAACTACAAAGTAAGACCCTAGCTCAAAACAAAAGCAAAGGATGCCAGCGATTTCATTCCTTAGAATTTAACTTCCATGGGGAAGCGGGAGGGAAGTGGGAGGAGGGGAGGAAGTGGAAATTTTGATTGGTATTATTTATAAAGTAATTAAAAAAGAGAATTTAACTTCCAAATATGCTTTCATACTTATTGGTGCTCACTAAAGTATAAAGCTTATAATCAAACTAAATGGATAATGGTCTGTCTAGGAGGTCCATCAAAATTATGGCATATCCTTACATTGAAAATTCTGAACAGGGCTGAAGAGATGGCTCAGCGGTTAAGAGCACTGACTGCTCTTCCAGAGGTCCTGAGTTCAATTCCCAGCAACCACATGGTGGCTCACAGCCATCTATAATGAGATCTGGTGCCCTCTTCTGGCCTGCAGGCTTACATGGAAGGAATGCTGTATACATAATAAATAAATAAATCTTAAGAAAGAAAACACTGAACAGCTATTATTTGTACACATAAAGCTGTAATGCACAGTTGTCTAAATCAAATACCAATCAGGCTTGTGGTGGCATGTTTCTTTAGCTTCCTAGCTGCTTGGAGGACTGAAGCAGGAGGATTGCTTGAGTTAAAGATTTGCAAATGCTTAGCATAGATGAGGTTCTCAGTTCATTCTTCGCACCTTTGCCCAAGAAAGAAAGAACAGATACTATTTGTATATCAGAATATCTTGGAAGTATATTTACCATATTTTGTAGTTACTTGGGAGCAGATAAATTTGTTTGGTGGATTGGAGATGGTATCTCTTTAATCATTTTGCTAGTATTTGGACTTTAGGTAAAGATTTATTTTAATGTGTAAAAGTGTTTTTCCTGCATGTATATATGTGTACCATGTAGGTGTCTGATATCCAAAGAGGTCAGAAAGGGTTTTAGATACTCTAGAATCAGAATTACAGACTGTTGTGAGCTGTCATGTGGGTGCTAGCAACTGAACCTTGGTCTTCTATAAGAGCATCAAGTATTCTTATTCACTGAGCCATCTCTCTAGCCCTAGTATTTGAATTTTTATAATTTCTAATTAGAAAGCCATGAAAACATTTGCCTTAAAGGGGGGGTGGGAACATTCTGGAGACTCCCAGAACTGTCATTTAGTTCTTCCCCTTTCTTTTTTCCTAAGGTGGTAGATCTGCTGGTGGCCATGTGTAGAGCAGCTTTGGAGTCTCCTAGAAAGAGCATCATCTTCGAGCCTTATCCGTCTGTGGTAGACCCAACTGATCCCAAGACTCTGGCCTTTAATCCTAAGGTATAGTTGTTGGGAGGAAAGGAATAAGGGACAGAAATGGTGGGAGGTTGGGTTCTAATTCCTATATACACAACAGATCCAATGAAGGACAGAAGAAATGGAACACTTGTTTCTTGGGTACTCTTGAACAGTGGTGTTAATCCGACAAAATAGCTCGGCTTGTCAAAAGAAAGGAAGAAAAATTAGTACCTGTTATATCATGATGAAAAGAATATAGGCTTGTGGCTGATGTGGTGGCATGTACCTATAATCTCAACACTTGGAAGACTGGGGCAGGAGAATTGCTTAGGGTTTAAGGCCAACCTGGATTACATAGTAAACTTCACCCTAGTTTACTCTAAGAATGAGATTATGACTGAGAGGAAAATAAAACAACAGTGAAAGGACGTAGGGTCTTTGGCTTTCTTGTTGAATAGTGCTTCATCTTTCTCAGTTTCAGCTGTCTGCCTATAAAAGGGGGTAGGAGTTATTTTGTGAACTGTTATAAAAGTAAGAGATAATGTAAATGAAATACCCTATGGGGAGTTCTCTGGAGAAATAGTTAATAGGCTGTGGATGACTATAAATATATTCCATTCATTCACATGTGAACTGTAGGGGATTTTATTATGAGGAATGGTCCCACCTACTTAGGGAGGCTGAGAAGTCCCCACATCTACAGTCAGTAGACTAGAAACCCTAGAGAGCCTGTGATGAATTATGTTCCAGTTCCAGTTCAGAGACCTGAGAACCAGGCAGGCTCAAGACCCACAAGGGCCAGTTTTGTAATTCATTCAAATCTAAAGCCAGGAAAAGGCTGATACCTCAACTTGTGAAGAATACCTTTTTATTCAAGGGCCAGGATTGGGAAGATTAGCTTTCTTATTTTATTTGGGTCTTTGTTTCACTATATGAGATCCTTATTAAGAAGGGCAATCAGCTTTGCCTACTCTAGTCATTCAGCTGTTAATCTGAACCCCAAAACACCTTCACAGAAAAACCCAGTAATCATGTTTGACCAAATAAGTAGGTACTCTTTAACCTATTTGAATTGACTTTTTTAAATCCTTTTTTTTCCTTTCTTTTCTTTTTTCCCTTTTTTTTTTCCCCCAGCAACAGAGGAGTGGGATTTCAAGACAGGATTTCTCTGTGTAGTCCTGGTTGTCCTGTAGTTTCTGTAATTTGCTCTATAGATCAGGCTGGTCTTGAACTCAGAGATCTGCCTGCCTCTGCTTCCCAAGCGCTGGGATTAAAGGCGTGGACCACCAGCTTTCAAACTAACTTCTAAAATTAACCATCACTGTATGTCACAGTGCCTCGTTGTTTTCTGTCAGTACTATATATTGGATATAATACTAGATTTATACATTTATTTAATTCTGAGAACATCTCTGACGATTGCCACAGAAATAGTATTTTTAGTTACAAATGAAATGAAGTATAGCTCAATGTAGAGCGCTTACCAGCATATGTGAGGGTATAGGTTCAATCCTTAGCATCACCAAAATCCTGACATACAGAAATCAGACAGACAGAACACCCCCTGTTATTTGCAAACAGGGCTTGTAATAGTTGAAGGTGTTCCACGACTTACCCAGATAATTACATAACTAGTAAAAGGACTAGCATAAAACTCTAAAGTTTCCAGATAAAGCTTGTTTTTTTCCATGGCACACTTGAATGTAGACTTTAACTGCCCTCTTTTTCTTTTTTATTATCATATCTTTGTATCTGCTTTTAATTATTTTCTTCCCATTGATTATCAACAGAAGAAGAATTATGAGCGACTTCAGAAAGCTCTGGATAGTGTGATGTCCATTCGGGAGATGACCCAGGTATTTTGCCTTCTCTTTGCCTAGCTCAGCCCTCTTTCCTGCTTGTAATTCACAGGAGTAGGGTAAAGATTTAGAGAAGCTACTCAAATTCCTATGTTTTCCTTATGTTCCCTTTGTAACCATCCCAGTTCTTGTTCCTGTTTTGTTAGCTTTCTTACTCTATTTCTCTTTACTCCTGGTGTCTCTCTCTCTCAATCTTTATCTTTGCTGCAGATTCTTTCACAAGTTGTTCATGTGTCAACTTTTTTCATAGTTCTTGGAGAATTAGAGAAGCTAGGGAAAGACTTCTGCCCAAGGTTAGGAGGGTGAAGAGGAGACGTAGAGATAAGGAGCTAGATCCAGGGATTGCATCTTCTGTCCTTCTAGGGGTAGGGCACCCACACAGAGCAGTGATCATCCTTTGACACAAGGCTGTCCCTCACCAGATTTCCCCACCCCTTGTCTGCAGTCTCTGCATGAATAGACATTCATTTGTACTCATATTTACAGGTGGGCCTCTTCTCAGTAAATCCTATATATCACAGTGCAGTTAACACAGAAGGTATACCTAGAAAGGATGATTTACTATTAGAAAGACTAATTTATGTGAAGATTTGCCACAGGATTCTTTAGCCTTTTCTTTGGGGGACATTGATTTTATTTGTTTTTTGATTTATAAGCAACATTTTTAGAGCTGTAGGAGTTGCATAAAATGAGGGAGACCTAGCCGGGCGGTGGTGGTGCACGCCTTTAATCCCAGCACTCGGGAGGCAGAGGCAGGCGGATCTCTGTGAGTTCGAGGCCAGCCTGGTCTAGAAGAGCTAGTTCCAGGACAGGAACCAAAAGCTACGGAGAAACCCTGTCTCGAAAATCAAAAAAAAAAAAAAAATGAGGGAGACCCACCTGCATGTTGTTTTGTAAGCATTTTCATATTTATGTCTTGCCAACCTGACTGGGCCTCCTTAAGGGTGGGAACCCCTTGTCTTCATTCTTCCAATAGCCTATCTTGCCTTGGGTCCCAGTAGTCTATAGAGAGTGGGAGGGGTCCTTCCTCTCCTGGGAGATAATCTTATTGTGGCCATTGTCTTACAGGGCTCATATTTGGAAATCAAGAAACAGATGGACAAGCTGGATCCCTTGGCCCATCCTCTTCTGCAGTGGTATGGATAGAATGGCTCAGGCTTTGTATGGGGTGGGGAAGAAAAGAGTCATCTATATGTTCTCCTAGAGGCATTTCAGCATTCTTTGCAAGGCTCTATATTATGACTACTTTTTCTTGGTGTTTTGCTGATAAGCCTTGACTTGACAGTAACTACAAAGAGCTCACAAATTCTGACGTGATTTCTCAAGCTTGAAGTATTCCAAATTTCCCCAAATGTTTGTTTTCTTACTTATTTTAATATAAGATGTTTAAAAAGCATGTGTATTTAGCTGGGTGGTGGTGGTGCACACACCTTTAATCTCAGTGCTGGTCGCAGAGACAGGTAGATCACTGTGAGTTCAAGGCCAGCCTAGTCTACAGAGTGAGTTCCAGGACAGGCTCAAAGTTACAGATAAACCCTGTCTTGAAGAACCAGAAGAAAAAAAAAATGTGTGTATTTGTCATGCACAACATGCATTATGTAATGGTTCATTAGAGTTTTTAAGTGCTAGGATATTGTCCATTATGACTCAGCAATTCTCAAAAATTTAATGTTATTAACTATAGTTGCCATTAGTACGTTTTCAGTTTTTCAGCATAGTTTTCTGTGTGTCCAAAGAAATTCATCTCTGTCTTCTATCTTCTTCCCTGATGAAGAGTAGCTAGAACCAGATGCACTGTTGTTTCCTACTGCTAGCAAAGAATTGGGCTGTTCCATTCCTCTCCTTCCCTCCCGCTGATCTTTCTTGTTTTCCTGACAACTTCTCTTTCTAGTTTGCCTCCTTCTAAGTCAACCCCTGAAAGTAGGTAGCCAGTGCAGTAGATTATTTCCTCATAGCATGAGTAATTACCAGACATAGACTTCTAAAGTAGCACTGTAAACTATGGTGAGAGCCTGGGATTGTCTAGTTGGTGAAATACTTACCATATAAGCGTGAGGACCTGAGTTTGTTTGATACCTGGCACTCACAAGAAGAGACAGGCATGATGGCATACATTTGTAATTGCAGCACTGGGAAGCAAAGATAGGCAGGTCCCTGGGGCTCACTGGCCAGCCAGGGTAGTCTAATCAGCGAACCTCAGGTCCCGGTCAGACTTGTTTCAAAAAACAAGGTGGACATCTCTTAAGGAACAATACCTGAGGTTGACTGTGGCCTCTGTGGGTGCACACGTATGCATACCACCTGCCCAATGCACACTGCATATACATACACAAAAATTTAAACAACCACAAAATAAGTACACTGTACCCACTGTAGGAGATAGTGCTCTTGCTGAATCCTTAGTTTTTATGCCTTTGTTCTCTTCAGGCTATATACAGCCTAGTCTGTCCTTGACTCCTCAGAAAGTTCATTCTAATTTCTTTTGTTTCTCCCCCCAATCTATATAGTATCTTTCTATTTTCTCATCCCTGAGATCCTTTAGGATTCCTTTGAGCTTAAGCAGGTTGGCTCCTGAGCCTCAGTTTTGGGATTTTTAAACCCCAGACACCAGTTTAACCATTTTCAATTCAGACCTCTCTCTAATTGGTAACTTCTGATTCTCTTTTTGTTTGTGGTTCTTTTTTTTAGTTTTTCAAAACAGGGTTTCTTTGTTTAGCTCTGACTGTCCTGGAACTTGACTTTGTAGACCAGGCTGGCCTTGAGCAATTCACTTGCCTCTGCCTCTTGAGTGCTGGGATCAAAGGCATGTACCACCTACACCTGGCTTCTAATATTTTTTTTGTTCCATGTTTTTCTCTCCCTAGTTATAGCAGCCTCCCCCCCCCCCCCCCGACTCTTTTTTATCTGTTATTAGTTCCTTAAAAACTAACTGGTCCAGTTGGTGGCTTCCCTTTAAAATCTATATAATTATATATGTAATTTTTATATAAGCAATATCACTTAAAAGAACTATCAATGGCCAGGCAGTGATCACACATGCCTTTAATCCCAGCACTTGGGAGGCAGAGACAGGTGGTTCTCAGTGAGTTTGAGGCCAGCCTAGTCTACAAAGAGAGTTCCAGGACAGCCAGAATTGTTAACACAGAGAAACCTTGTTTTGAAAAACCAAAAAAAAAAAAAAAAAAAAAAAGGAAGAAAGAAGAAGAAATATCAACTATGACTTGGAAATTATTACACAGTTCAGACATTGGAATCTTACTTGCAGTACCTAGATTAAAGTTCTTCTTCAGGATAACCTCACCACATAGTTATTCTGTCCCTTCTTTTTCTGTTTCTTCCAGGATAATTTCTAGCAACAGGTCACACATTGTCAAACTACCTCTCAGCAGGGTAAGTAATTATTCTCCCTCTGTAATCTTAAAACTTTTAAGTGAGAGGCAAGGAGGGGCTCTATGCCCACGCATTGTATTGGTCCCTGACTAGCTTGGTTGGTACTGTCTGTCCATCAGCATAGTGACCCTAAACATATTTCCCTTGTTTGTAGTTAGTGTAAATCTGATTTGTTTCCTGTTTCCAACCTTTCCCTCCCTGATCTCTGTTTCTGCTGGTTTTTTTTATCCCACCCCCACCCTGGGCAGCAGCTGAAGTTCATGCACACCTCACACCAATTCCTCCTGCTGAGCAGCCCTCCTGCCAAGGAGGCTCGGTTCCGGACCGCCAAGAAGCTTTATGGAAGCACCTTTGCCTTCCAGTAAGGATGGTGGAGGTGGGGCATCAGGAGATGGGCTAGGCTAGCAGGGCCTTGGGATCTATGAGTTTTGTTTTTTCATGATGGTCAACTAGTCAGCGGTTATTTACTAAATGCTACTGTGGTAGGTGCTGTAAAGGAGAAAATGCTGCATGTGACATGGTCTTTATTTTTAAACTGCTTACGGAGTGGTTGAATGGACAGAATATTTTCATGTAAATACAAAGGAGCAGATTAGAAGGATAGAGTTAAAGTTTGGGGAAGAAATCCACAGTTTATGTCTAACTGTGGAGGGAAGAAAGAAAAAAGTGTTAAGGGTAATTTAGAGGAAGTCTTAGTGCTTCTTTATTAAAAAACTGCAGTGTGACCTCTGGACTAGAAGCCATATTGAGATCATTGATAAGTTTATTGAATTTGAGATGAAATTACTGAATTTGAAGTGTCAGGAAAATAGGCAAATGAAAATATGAAAATACTGAGCCAGCATTTGAGGGTTTAAGATGTGGGGTTAGTTGAACAACAGGAAGATGTAAAGTTTAACCACACACTCACATATGCACATACACACTTCTTGCTGCCTATGACTTTATCTGTGAACATGTCACTCCTTAGGTGTGTTTGCCCATCTGCATGTATTGTGGGTAGGGGGTGATAATGGTCTTGGAAATATTCCTAAGAATCTCATACTATGAGGGGACGCATGTTCTATCCTGCCTTACAGTGGGTCCCACATTGAGAACTGGCATTCAATCCTGCGCAATGGGCTGGTCAATGCATCCTACACCAAACTGCAGGTGAGGCTGTGTCCTTTTCTTCTTTCTTTCCACTCACTCAGCTATGGAAATCTGTTTTAAAATGCTTGAATATCTGTTTGTGCCTCTACATCACCATGTCTAGCCTATCTTGAGAAAGATAGAGCCTATCTACAGAGAAAGTTAGCACTGTAAATATAGAATGAATGTGGCTGTTGTATATTTTGGTTGTTTAGGTAATGGGAATTAACCTATTATGACAAAGACTTTCCATTTGTGGCTATTCAAGGAGTTGTTACAAAGGCTTATTTCATTGCCCTGAGAAACTACTAGGAGTGGTTTTTGTTCCTCTTCCTGCTACCTTTTCCATAGTTTCTTTGTTTGAGAATCTGAAAATATATTAAGGATTGAGGTCATAAGTATGAATGCTGAGGCAATGACTCAGTGGCTCTGCTACTCACCGTTCTCCATGGTATTCTTTAGTATTTTGCAAGCAAGCAGTTTAACTGAATCCACTTTTCAGCCAATCAGCTTTTCAAGAGTAGATGCCTCGAGTTTTTTGAATGAGTAAGAAGGTAGATAAATGGAGGGACAAAGGACTGCATAAGTGTTGTGGATGCCTAATATACAGCCATGGGGGTCCCAGGCTCATATATTCATCCTGGTGTTTCCCTGCAAGCTGCATGGAGCAGCCTATGGCAAAGGCATCTACCTGAGCCCCATCTCCAGTATTTCCTTTGGATACTCAGGTAAGCAATACTCTTTGGCCACCTTGACTCTATATTGCATCCGTCTGTGAACACATGAACTTTGCTATCTTCTCTTTCATCATGGATATTTAGTCTTTGTTAGCACCTTCCCCAACCATGGATACACATTCTGTCTCTTTCTATTTTCTCTCACTAGAAATTTAGATTATTTATGAGGCAAGGGTAGTTATTGTAAAAAATGGTAGTTTTATACAGTGGAGGAACTAGACCCTGGGGATGGGTTAATGAATAAATAGAAAACAAAAAAAAAAGCTTTTTGTAGACCAGATTTTTTTTCTCTCTTTCTTTTTAAAACTGATTTGTGTAGTTCATGCTGTGCTTGAATTCAGTGTGTATCCAAAGATGACTTTGAGTTCCTGATCCTCTTAAGTACTGGAATTACAGCCATATGCCACCATGCCCATGTAAACCACATATTTGATATGAGTAATTACAAATTATGTGCATACATGTGTGAATATTCTTGAATATAATTTGCTTATATTTTTGGAGATATTATTCTTCTCTTCCTTTTAAAATGTAAATGGTCTGTAATCACACTATTATCATATTTATTTACATTGAGTGGAAGAGAAAGTACTTCATTCTAGATTCTAAGGAGATGATTCTAGCTTATTTAACTCAGAAAAACAATTGAAGTCGGAACTCTTTTGGTCTTCCTGGTTCATGTTCCACTTTGGTCTGCCTTTGTTCTTGTTCAGTGGAGTCTCTGTCTAAGCTACAGCAAGCCATGCAGTTGCATGTCCACAATAGGAAGGCAGTTTATCCTGTTTTTTTTTCTTTTATAGATTATTGTTTAGTAGTTTTAGTAATTATGCCCATTATAGAAATTAAAAAATAAACAACCAACTTATATCTAGAATCACAGAACCAAGACAGGCAGTAGTGGTTTCTGTTAGAGGCCAGTTTATTCTATAGAGCATATTACATTCCAGGCCAGCCAAGGATACACAGAGAGAAACCCTGTCTCGAAAAGCAAAACAAAAACAAACAAACAAAAAAAAGAGCTAGTTCCAGGACAGGCTCCAAAGCCACAGAGAAACCCTGTCTCAAAAAAAAAAAAAAAAAAACAAAAAACAAAAAGAAAAAAAAAAAAGAATCCCAGAACTGCAAAACTAATAATGTAGTTATGGTGATAGGTTTATAAGTAATCCCAGATATTCAGGAGGCCAAGACAAGAAAATCATGAGTTTGAGGTCATCCTGGGCTACTTATTGAGATCTTGTCTCAAAATAAATTCATGAAATGCCTAGGGACATAGGTTCACAGTGTTGTGTTTCTTAGCATACATGAAGCCTTAAGGTCAATCTTTAATACTATAAAATAAGCAAAGAAATATAGAACTGGTTTTAATGATAGAATAAAGGAATCAAAGAAGAGCTGGTAATAGGTAGAAAGGAAAACGAGTGAACTAATACACTATAGGGCAGAAAAAAACAGATGATTCAACTGAGTATGGTGACTCATGCCTTTAATCCCAGTCCTCAGGAGGCAAACAGGAGGGGCCCCATGAGTTCAAGGGCAATCTAAGTTACATAGTAACTTCCAGACCACTCTTGATTACAGAATGAAACCTTGTATCAAAAACTAAACAAATTAACAAAATGAGGGACCAAAATGTAGTTTAGTAGTGCAGTCCTTGCCTACCATGTGCAGTGAGGCAACAAAACAAAAACAACTGGTAGATAGATCTTGATTAGAAGAAGAATGGGCACAAATATGAACAAAAATGCAAGCATCACTATAGATGTACCAAATTTTCTGAAGCTTAGGAGAAAAGTCTGTAAATGTTCTATTAATAATTTGAAACCTTGGGGGCTGGAGAGATGGCTCAGTGGTTAAGAGCATTGCCTGCTCTTCCAAAGGTCCTGAGTTCAATTCCCAGCAACCACATGGTGGCTCACAACCATCTGTAAAGAGGTCTGGTGCCCTCTTCTGGCCTTCAGGCATATACACAGAATATTGTATACATAATAAATAAATAAATATTTAAAAAATAATAATTTGAAACCTTTTGACAAAACATCTAGAAAAATAGAAAAAACTTAATAAGACTGACTAAAAGAAATTAAAAATATAAATGATGACCAAACCCAAATAGTATGTGGGTATTTTGTATGTTTGATTTTTGGCTGGGAATGGAACCCAGGACTTTGAGCATGATAGATAACACTTTATTTTCCTCTAAATCACTCCCCTCTCCTCATATCTTTCTTATGAGTCTTAAATTGTCAAAGAGTGGATTGTTTTAATCTTAGACAAAAGTCTAGAGAATGGAAAAAGGGAAGCAACTAATAAAAGTTTGTCAGGTCTGGTTGAAACTAAAGCACTCCATCAGAGTACATCTTAAAGGGAATGTAAAGACAGGCTGCCAACTTGGAGAAGATGCTTGTAAGATGTATAAAAACATAAGATTAGTCTTTACATGTATTCAAAAGGTGCTGGAAAGATGGCTTAGTGGTCAAGAGCACTAACTGTTTTTCCCAGGTTCAGTTCCTAGGACCCACACAGCAGCTCACAACCATCTATAATTCTAGTTTCAGGAGATTGACATCTTCTTCTGGCCTCCAAGGATATGCACATGGTACACAATTATATACATAATACTTTATGTATATATTTATTAATAGATAATTTAAAGTGGCAGCTTATTAAGACCTTATCTCAGATTTTAAAAGAAGGACCAGGGGGCTGGAGAGATAGCTCAGAGGTTAAGAGCATTGCCTGCTCTTCCAAAGGTCCTTGAGTTCAATTCCCAGCAACCACATGGTGGCTCACAACCATCTGTAATGAGGTCTGGTGCCCTCTTCTGGCCTGCAGGCACACACACAGACAGAATATTTTATACATAATTAGTAAATAAATAAATAAATAAATAGGACCAGGCTGGGGTGGTGGTGGCAAATGTCTTTAATCCCAGTACTGGCCAGCCTGGTATACAAAGTGAGTTCTATGGTAGAGCATGCACCAAAACCTTGAGTCCAATCTCAAGTGATATTTAAAAAATGTATAGGGCCGGGCGGTGGTGGCACACGCCTTTAATCCCAGCACTGGAGGCAGAGGCAGGCGGATCTCTGGGAGTTCAAGGCCAGCCTGGTCTACAAGAGCTAGTTCCAGGACAGGCACCAAAGGTACAGAGAAACCCTGTCTCGAAAAAACCAAAAAAAAAAAAAAAAAAACAAAACCAAAAAAAAAAAACTAAAAAATGTATAGGTCAATACAAAGTCTTTAAAAGCAAGCAAATAATATAAATGGTGATTCCATTGAAGAAATGCTCCCTCACCTCTGTGTGAAAGCTGTGTAATCTCTAGAGGAAAGTAAAATAAACCAAGTGACATGTTATTTAGTATTCATATGGTAATACCACAGGATCTCCTTTACTGTCTGTAGGGATAAGAATTGATACAGCCATTTTAGGAGACAGTTTTTCTTTTTTGGTTATTGTTTTGTTTTTTTTCAAAACAGGGTTTCTCTATGTAGCTTTGGAGCCTGTCCTGAAACTTGTTCTGCAGATAAGGCTGGCCCTGAACTCACAGAGATTCACCTACTTCTGCCTCTCATTGCTGGGATTAAAGGCAAGCACCACTGACACCCATCTGAGAGATGGGTTTCTTAAACGTTCATTATTTATTGTTCTTTTTGTGCATATGTATGTGCACACAGGTATGTATATGTGCACATAATATCATTTGTGCTTTTGGAGGTCAGGGTCAGAGGGACCACTTGCTGGAATCAGCCCTTTCCTCCTAATATGAGTAGAGGTCCGATTCAGGCCATGAAGCTTGGTTACAAGTAAGTGTCTTTATCCACAGAGCCATCTTTTCAGCCCAAGAAAATAATTTTATTCTATTTTATTTTATAAAGCAACATAATCAAAAAAATTAAAAGCCACTCAGTGGTGGCGCATGCCTTTAATCCCAGCACTCAGGAGGCAGAGACAGGTGGATCAAAAAAAAAAGCAATATAATTTATCTCTTTGACCTTGCATTTTCATTTCTGCATATGCAAACTCATGTACATGTACAGGAATGCTTATAGCACGACTGTTTGCAGCAGCAAATCTTGGAAATAGCTCAGATCCTCATCACTGGGATAGGAGACAAATAAATTTTGATATAATCGTACTGGGTAATTATTGAGCAATGAAAATAAAGGCAGCAATAGCATGTAACAACATAGACAATCTTAGTAATATTGATTAAAAGTAGGCAAGTCAGGCTAAGGAAGTGGTTCAGTAGAGAAAAGTGCTAGCCATACAGGTCTGATGACCCAAGTTCAGTACCTAGAACCCCAATGCTCTTGTGGAGACATGGGTGACAGAAACAGGAGAATCGCATGAAAACTTCAGGACCAGCCAGAGCAGAAACAACAAGAGAGAGACCTTGCCTCACTAGGTGGGACTGTTAAGAATTGACTTCTGAAAATTATACTCTGTGACAGTAGTTTTTGGAAGCTCTTCTGGGATCAAGGGCATATTGTCATTGCCCTACTAGTTTTACTTTTTTTTTTTTTTTTGCCAATAAGTATTTATTAAGGAAGAAGGAGAGAGAAAGAGGGAGAGAGAGAAAGAGAGAGAGGAAGACAAAAGGAGAAAGGAGAGGAGACAAAGCCGTGTCCTGGTTTTACTTTTTTGAATTTGAATCTTGTTATTAACATGAGAATTTTAATCTGCATCATACGGGGAGGGTCTAACTCCCTGGGCACTGGGAACAGAATGAGGACGTCAAAGCCAGTGCACTTCTGATGCTACAGTGGATCTCTGACATGTGGGAAGGGCAAAATGTTTTTTATATTGCTCAATAAAACCAGATAAAATATGAAAGAGTTCTAACCCTGGGCTGGGCATGTAATTCATGGCAGAACACTTGCCCAGCATGTGTTGGGCCCTAGCTTCAGTTCCCAGTGCTGCAGAATAAATGTTAAGTAAGTTTCAGGGCAACAATTCCTCTTAGATAAGTCAGAATGTCTTGAAGTAACATGTTTAATCTATATAGGATAAGTGCCCAATGCATCCTAAGTGTGTAAATGCATCCTTAGGTTCAACATGAGAGTGGACTTGAATTAGTCTTTTTGGCTTCTTATTAGGATTTTCAGTTTTTAATCTTTGTTCCAGCGTGAGCATTCCTATGGTTAAGTTCTTATTTTCCAAGTAATCAGATTCTCCTGGCTTTTAGTTCCCATGTTCTTTCCCTTTTCCTCATCTCTTACCAAGTTATTTTCTTTTTATTTTCTTTAAGTTAGTAGGTACTTGAATACCTTCAGTTACCAGATGGAGCCAGGAATCTTTATAGATTCCTTGTCTTTCCTTAGCACTTTACCAACTACTTTAAAACATCAAATCACACTGTCCTTTTTTAACTGTAAGATTATAGATCCAGACTATCACGGGATTTTAATAGGAATTTGGATTTACTGATCATCTAGTCCAATTCCTTATTACTTTATGGATAAGCTGATATGTAGAAAAGCCAAACACTTTTCTTTAGATCATATGACTGAAATCCAAGTCTCCTGACTTGTAGGCAGTTGTTCTCATTATTCTATTGCCTGACAAGGGGAGGCTTTGTTTGAATCGCTGGGTCTCTGGGTCCCAGAAGTTAAATAAGAATCTTTCCAACACTGGGTGGGATGTATGCAAATGTCCCACTTACTGTTGTCACTCTGGCATTTGACCAGCTCTCTTGCCTGTTTCCTTCTCAGTCTATTTTGGTTTTTTATTTCTTTTTCACCAGGGTACCTTTGGGTTGGTGGCATGGGGTGTGTTTAGAGAGCATGCATTTGACCAATCACTCTGCTAGTAACTGGGCCGTCAGTGTCACAGAAATTAGGGATAGTGAATAGAGATGGAAATTTTCTTTGTTTAGTCCTGTTTTGAAACTCATTCTGTCTGGGCAGCGGTGATACATGCCTTTAATCCCAGCACTCTGGAGGTGAAGGCAGAGGCAGGCCTCCAAAGAGAGTTTCAGGACAGCCAGGGCTACATAGAGAAACCCTGTCTTGAAAAAACTTTAAAAAAAAAATTAAAGAAAAAAGAAATTAATTCTGGACACAAAAGTGTTCAGAGATTATTCTAGGCATTAAATAGTGTAGTCTGAGGACAGGAATGCAATAATCAGTGGGTCAGCATGAACAGGACAGTGCCATAGGTTTGAAACAGGGCAAGAGTTTAGTTACTTAAAGTGCTACCTCTAAGGCTCACCAAAGAAAATTACTCTTTCTTCCCCCTGACTGCTTTTTCTGGAGTAGAACCTTAATGGGAATTTCTCTTAGAATCTTGCCAATGAAATATCTGAACTGAGATCATGATGTTTAGATGCAGAGTTGAGACTTGTTAAGGATGATGGAGAAGGTTGTCCTACAGGAGGAAGGGATTGGCAGTTCAAGCTGAGTTTTGTTCAGGCCATGAACTTGCATTTGAGAATATAGTATATGTCTGTGTTGAGTTGACAGCTGAATTGCTCAGTAAAGAATTTCAGTTCAGTGGTTATCACCTCCCACTTGTACATCGTGAACATTATAAAATCAAGATAAGCTGCAACTGGTAAAAGTTCTTGATGCCCAAGCCTCACGACCTGAGTTTGATCCCTGCTATCTTTTAAAAGTAGTCCTCTGAATTGGGTGTGGTAGCACACATTGTCTTTAATTCCAACACTTACAGAAGCAGGTGCTCTTTATGAGTTCAAGGCTAGCATGGTCTACATAATGAATTCTAGGTCAACTAAGACTGGAAAATCAAAACCTAAGCCAAAAAAAAAAATTCCAAACAAATTAAAACAAAGCAATAAGCCGGGTAGTGGTGGCGCACGCCTTTAATCCCAGCACTCAGGAGGCAGAGGCAGGCGGATCGCTGTGAGTTCGAGACCAGCCTGGTCTACAAGAGCTAGTGCCAGGACAGGCTCCAAAGCTACAGAGAAACCCTGTCTTGAAAAACTAAAAAAAAAAAAAAACAAAGCAATAAAACCCCAAAAGTTGTCCTCTGACTTCCATATGCACCTGCACTCACATCACATACACATAATAATAAATAAAATTTCAGTTTAAATTTTTGATATAGAGACAACGGCAAAACCAAGAATTAAAGCAGAGTGAAGTTGAAATAAAGTAGAATGGTGAGGTTGGAACCCTGATTATGGCTTGTAATTATAAACCAACATTTTCATATTTGCCCCATCTCCTTGATTATACACCCCTAAGTGATAAGGCTGTGATTATGATAAACCTGTAGACAGACTGAAATCCTGTCCTTAGGCCAAAAAGAGTTGGCAGTAAGGGGTATATAGGTACTGTTTGATATGTAAGTAAAAATCCTATTTCAGTCTTTACAAACAAGACCTCTCCTATAACTGCTAAAAATAGAAAAGGAGCCGGGTCGTGGTGGTGCACGCCTTTAATCCCAGCACTTGGGAGGAGAGGCAGGTGGATCTTTGTGAGTTTGAGGCCATCCTGGTCTACAAAGCAATTTCCAGGACAGCCAGGACTGTTAAACAGAGAACATGTCTCAATAAAACTTAAAAAGGGGGTGTAGAGGGATGGTAGAGAATTTATTCTCTGAGATAATGTGGAAATGAGAGGGAGTTGGCATTTTTTTCTAAAGGTAAGATTCTTCAAGGTGAATATCTGTGGAGAATCGATTTGGAAGGGCTCTGCTTTCTCCTTCTATCCTGGGTGGTCAATCTTTTGTGTAACTTTAAAGCTTTCTCCTAACTTGTGTCTCTGGCTTATCATTTGTCTCTGAGGTATTGGTGTCCTACACTGCCGAGCTCTTCTTTCCCAACTTGAGTGTTTCATTAGAACCTCATTGGTTCCCTGGAGTTCTTGGAGGATCAAGTTCAGTTGCCTTAACAGCCTGGTTTATATATTTTACATCATTTTTTGCCATTCATTATACTGTATGCAAATTAAGTTCTGTGGGTCTATCTGTCTTTATGCTTTCCATATTCTATTATACTAACTCTTCCTAATTCAGAGGTCCTTAGTCTTACTGGACCAGAACATCTTCAGATCTCCTGGCTAAGCTAGTTCCCCTCCCTGGTTCACACGGTGCTTACAGGCTCACCATCACAGTCGTCACCGTACTCCATTGTATTTACTTACTCCTTGCCTTCAGTCTCCACCAGGTTAAGCGAGGGTAATCACTTGTTTATTCACTACTGTATCACCAAGTATCTCTAGTTGGTATCTGACATATAGTAAGTACTTTCACAAATATTTAAGAAATGGACGAATTAACTGAGTTTGTTGTTCTGTGACAGGAATGGGCAAAGGACAGCACAGAATGCCATCCAAGGATGAGCTGGTCCAGAGATATAACAGGATGAACACCATCCCCCAGGTATTTTTTCTGGTTTTGCCTGAGTTAGGACCTTTTCCTGCATCCTGCTAAAATAATGAATGGGAGAACAGTGGAGCAGGGGCCATTGTAGGTCATTTAAAAGTACGTTATAAAATGATCTTTCTTCAGTCATATGTTATATGAAAACAAAGTCATATGAAAGCAAGGGCAGGTTAAATGAAAAGATGAACATGGAAACTGTGGCCCCACCAGGGTAATTCTATATAAGCAAACATTTGGAGGGCGGCTGGGTGCTCAGGAGACCCAGTTCACACCCCAGTTAGTCCCCATCACCAGTAGCTAATCGGCTCTTGAGAGCAAGCTCTAGCATTTTACCTTGCTCTGCTCTCCTCTGCTTCTTTGTTTTTCAGACCCGATCCATTCAGTCAAGGTTCCTGCAGAGTCGGAATCTAAACTGTATCGCACTTTGTGAAGGTATGTAGTTCACCCATTTCATGTCTTTTTGAGACCCCAACCTTTATTTCTGCTGCTCCCTTGGCACATGATTCAGCCAAAAGTTATGTTGAAGCAACATGTTCTCCTTCCCTACCCGGACCGCCTTAAGCTTTATATCTGTGACTTCTGGCCTCTCTTCTCCCAGTGATTACATCTAAGGACCTTCAGAAGCATGGAAACATTTGGGTGTGCCCTGTGTCCGACCATGTCTGCACAAGGTTCTTCTTTGTGTGAGTCTAAAAGGAGCCTTTGGTATTACTTCAAGAGTGAGGGTGGTAGATGGTGTGTGGCTGCTGAGGATGTTCATTTTTTGTTGTCTGAGTCCTGTCCCTTGCTGTCTAATTTAGCTGGCACTGGGACTTTGCCCTTAGGTTAAAGACAGATCACTGGGGTCTGTGTAGAGAAAAACCTGCTGAGCTGATTGATCCCTTTATCCTGAAGAGCAGTGACAAAATCTTTCACTTTGGGATGAAATGGTCACGTCTTGAAACACTTCTGCTGGTGGATATGGGTTGGTATCATGCTTCCCCTTGTGCTCACACTTCCTCTGTCTTTGGCAGATATGAGGATGGGCAGGTGGGCGATGCCAACATTAATACTCAGGACCCCAAGATACAGAAGGAAATCATGCGTGTGATCGGAACTCAGGTTTACACAAACTGAGGGGGCCCCAGCCCTCGTATCATCCTGTTCCCCCAGGATCCATCTACCCTTGTAAAAGGGCTCAGGAGCAGCAGGTGAGGCTGCCCTGAGAAATTTCAAGGGGCAAGAAAAGGATAGAAGAGGCGGCCTTCATGGTGGAGATTGATCCAGGAACCACTCCACATTTGGATGGCTCTGACTGACTCCCACCCCTGATTTGCCCAGTTGACTTCACCCTGTTTGTAAATAAAACAATAAAATGGAAGGTGCTGTGGACTGGATATGATCACTGTGGTCTGCTAGCCTTGGCCCAGCGCCTAGCCAAGGCCCTAGATAGGGGTTGTTTTGTGAGAGTGGAATATCCGAAGGTTGGGACGATTTGGTTTTCCTGAGGTGAAAGATGCATCCATTGGTTTCAGTGTTGTATTCTACAGATCTGTCTGTATTTTTAATAAAAATATCAAATAAAGAGAAGTTTATCAGTTATGCATATGAAATAAACAGGAGAATACCACTGATGACAGTTATTAAAACTGTCAGAGTCAGAGCAGCTTTGATTTTGTTTTTCCAAATCTTCAGGACCAGCTACTTCCAACTCCAGATCCTTCCAACTCCAGAACCTGAGCTCTTATCATCCCTCATCCTGGAGGTTTTACTGTTTAACCCTGGCTGACCTGGAACTTGCTGTGTAGACCAAGCTGGTCCCCAACTCACAGAAATCTGTCTCTACCTCCAGAGTGCTGGGATTAAAGGTGTGCCCTAACACACTGGGCACCTAGAGCTGTTCAATCAGCTGATTTACTACCTGGACCTAGGTATGTGACTACTCATATAAAACATTTTTGGCAATTTCAGAGAAGAAATTTTTCCCACATGTAAACATTTCAACACCTGCCTGCAAATGCTAGCAAATGATGGTATGAGAAGGAATGAAAAACCAGCTTATTTTGATCCCAAAGCTGCAATAGCTGAGCTATCCTTGTGGTATCATTCTGTTTTGTTTTTTGAAAATAGCACAACAGGCTGAATGGTTGTGGCATATGTCTGTAATCCCCTCACTCAAGAAGACAGAGGCAGGGCTGGAGAGATGGCTCAGTGGTTAAGAGCATTGACTGTTCTTCCAGAGGACCCGAGTTCAATTCCCAGCAACCACATGGGCTCACAACCATCTATAATGAGATCTGGCACCCTCTTCTGGCCTGCAGGCATACATGGAGGCAGAATGTTGTATACATAATAAAGAAAATTTAAAAAAAAAAAAAAGAAGAAGAAGACAGAGGCAGGTAGATCTCTGTGAGTTCAATGCCATTCTGGTCTATAGCTTGAGTTCCAGGACAGTCAGGGCTGTTACACAGAGAAATCCTGTCTCAAAAATAAATAAATAAATAATAAAAAAAAATAAAGAAGAAATAAAGCCACAACATAATGGCCTTTTTATATTAATAAAATTATGTATATCAGTTTATAGTTCTCTCCTAAAAAGTTGATCTCAGAAGTTCATAAACCCTTATGACTCAAAACATGAGATTAAAAAAGGCTAACCAAAATCAAGAATGCTTTCTGAAAATGGCCTGTGGCTCAGCCCTAGCGCCTCTGCATAACACTTCATTCTTCAGTACTGTAAGGAAGAAGGAAAAGCTTTATCAGAAGAATGTCCTCATAGCAGAAAAAGGTGGTTGGTAGGGGTCCTGTGTTTCTGTAGAGCTATGCTCTCACAGCTTGGAGAATTGAGGGCCCGGCTACTTTGAAGGTGAGAGGGCTGGGGTTTATGAAGACGTGTGAGCTACAAGAAAACATTGTTCACAGAGGGCAGGGCTCTTAACTGCACACACAGGGCCTGTCCACATTCCACTTATCTGAGTGGAGGCATTCTTCATTTAGATCTAGACATGCTTAAATAGAGACAGGGCCAGGAAAAGGAACTGTTTTCCTCAATTAGTGCCAGATGGAGAGTATGTAGCCGTGATTTTGGACTCAAAATTCACCTTCCCTCCTTTCCTGGTAGTTTTCCATCCAGGCTGGGTGTGGTCATAACTCAGTTTGTGGTAAGGATGTGGCCATCAGCTGGGGAGGAGCTAGCTTCTGCTTTTAGTTCCAGCTGGGAAGGAGAAGCCGGTGCTGAGTCATTACTGGTTCTTACCAGCTCACAGCAGTATTTGGGGTAGACATCTAGGGATAGCTTGGCTTCTTATAGGTGGTGGGAGGCAGTTCTATGGATCACAAAATTTCACGGGAGCCCTCCAGCCCCAGGAATGAGAAGGTAGAGTTCAGTTCATTAGAAGAGGCATTGACCTCTAGAGCATATGTAGGACTTTCCACAGATTGATTTAAGACCACCCACCCTCTTGGCACCATAGGGCCAGAGATGCTAACCTTTAAAAATGGTTTTACACAGGAAAGAGCCTACAGTCTCTTCAGTTCTACTTGTCCTTGGGATGAGTGAGTGAGGTAGCAGGCAGCCAGTCAATAAGGACTTCTTGGGAGGAGGGCACTTGATCTGTTGTTACCTGGTCTCACCTTTTATTTTTCCAGAATATTTATTAAGGTTGCTTAATAAAAAAATTTTCACTTATCATTTTGGAAGTTCCTTACTGGAAAGGTAATTATTCTGATGACAAACAGCAGTCACAATGATCATTTCCTCATTGGATAAAGTCCATTTCTTCTTGACATGTAGGTTTCCTTCCGTATTTCTGAGATAATGATTTTATTATTTTTACAGTGTCTGGTAGCTCTTGACCTAGCAGCCAACCTGGGGATATACTTACTTCAGAATGATACAAAATTATAGAAGATAGAGGGAATAGTAGTGGCCACAGAGCTGCTGAGGCACTGAGTTTAGAACTGTCTTTTCTGTAAGGGAACCATACTGAGAGACCATGTGACTTTGCTGGTGGGTGTCATCTTGTCCATCATGACCCCCTGGTCTTCCACAGCTTGACTGACACCCTGTCCCCAGTCTCATCATACAGCTGTTGTGTCAGCATCTTTCCCTTTCTGTCCTCCTTGGAGCTGAAGTGGCAGAATCTATGTCCAGATGGACTTGAGGTAGGTTCTGTTTACTCTCCAGTTTGCATACCAGGGAACTTGAGCTACAAATGTAGGGAGAAAGGGGAGCACAAGACCTCTAGGGAGTAATTGGGTGGGTTGATTACACCCACCACTCTAAAAGGCCTTTTAAAAATGAGTCTTGGAAGTTCTGGGATAGAAAAAAGTTGGAGGTCACGTCGGGTGACAAGGCCTCTGTGGCTGAGATAGTGCTTTACAGCGTGAGCAAGGACTCCATGCTTATCTCTTCCTGCTTCTCATTGCTGAGGCAGCATTTGCAAGATGCTGGGAAAGCCCACACCAGACACAGCCACATTCAGAAAACTTGCATTTTCATTATTTACTGAAATTACATTCACTTACGGAATACTGAACATCTTTTAGAGGCGCTCCATACGTATATTGACTTCCCAGGTGAAACTCAAATGTTTTCTCCTACTTGAAGCCTTCCCTTTCTCAGAGACAGCTCTTTTTCTCTTTATCCCTAACTCCAAAAATCCATCATTTTCTCCTTTTCAGGGTTTCTCTGGGGAAACTTTGTTCTACCATTGTGACAGAATTTTTTTTTTTTTTTTTGGTTTTTCGAGACAGGGTTTCTCTGTGGTTTTGGAGCCTGTCCTGGAACTAGCTCTTGTAGACTAGGCTGGTCTCGAACTCAGAGATCCGCCTGCCTCTGCCTCCTGAGTGCTGGGATTAAAGGCGTGCGCCACCACCGCCCAGCTGTGACAGAATTTTTTAGATGCCTGAAGAAGGCATGGCATGAAAAGGCCTTCTGAGTATGGTGGTAAATACCTCCTATAATCTATGAATTTAAGATCATTGTTGGCTCTAGAGTGAGACAGCTCTGGTTCTGCTTTCGACCTGATGTTCAAGGCTTGTGGGTAGCTCTGGTAGTCTGTTTTGTCCTTAGAAATAACACTGCTATTTCCAGAGACCAAGAGATCAATATGGGACAGCTTATACTCTCACCATTTCACCAGGGCTAAAATTTATTTTGAGGCTACTGGGTTGGTATATGATTTTTTGACTTACACATCCCCCAAGAACTCACATTTTTTTTTTTTTTTTTTTTGGTTTTTCGAGACAGGGTTTCTCTGTGGCTTTGGAGCCTGTCCTGGAACTAGCTCTGTAGACCAGGCTGGTCTCGAACTCACAGAGATCCGCCTGCCTCTGCCTCCCGAGTGCTGGGATTAAAGGCGTGCGCCACCATCGCCCGGCAAGAACTCACATTTAATTTTAAGAACTTTTAAGCCATTAAATCAGATTCTGTAGACTTGGCCAAAAATCTATAATGAGTGAATCTTGCAGTGCACTCTCCCATGCTGATCAAGTCAGTGAACACAAAGAAAGGGCTTACTTTAGGCTGGGTGGTGAGGGGTCTGTGTCCTTTAACCCTGGTTTCCTGTAGTCTTGGGGTTGGTATAGATCAATGGAATGCCATCCTAGAGGGATGGCTCCAAGAAGGCAAATCTGAATTCAGAAAGTTGTTCTGCCCTGGTCACCAAGAAAGCCCTTTAAGACTGGGCAGTTACCAAAGGGAGAAGGTGCCTGTTGGGCACTGATGGACTCATTCACATATAATTAACTGATCAAATTCCACCCTGTGAAATAGAAATTGTCCTCAGATTACTTTTAACAGACTCTACTTGTTAAATTACAGGTATAGTCACAGGGCTAGAGATTAAAACTAGAACAACAAAGATAAGATACAACCTTACCTTACTCTTCTATTTCATGGTGATTTCTCAGGAAAACCAAGACAGTAACCCTTAGGAAGTCACTATGGCACATTTTGACATCTAATGTAAACAAGACAGGCTGTAGTCTGCCACTTCCATGAACCCCATTTGTGTAACTGTCACATCTCTGAAACTTGCAGATGATGGGCAATTCTCAGCTGCCACCAATTCTCCAGTTTAGTTGATATTCATGTTAATCTTGGGACTATACCCAGCTTGGTCTCCAGTCCTGCCTCAGTCTCAAATGACATGACCCTCTTTGTATCCTGGGCTGGAAAAAAAAAAAGAACCATGGTGATAGCTATCTACTCATGCTGAGATCTACTGTGCATAATATGACCCAAAGTTCTAAATCTAACTGGGAATCAGGTTTAGTGGCTCACACCTGTATTCCCAGCACTCCAGAGACTGAACTGGTCAGCCTGAGACACACAGTGAGCTCTAGGCGAACCCAGGTTAGGGTCTCTGTCTCTGTCTC